CCCTATCACGAGGGGCACCCTGCAGACTGCGAAGCTGCGGGTTTGATTAGTCTGGTACTAGCAGGTTCCGTACTTGAGGGCTTTGTGTTTCGAGGAGGTTGAGGCTTTCGGTTTATTATGTGGACGAGGATGTTGCTTACAATCCGGTAGCTTGGGATGGCGGAGCCTTCCGATTCTGAAGTTCGACACTACGTGGAAGAGCTAGCCAGGTGGTTGCGGGTGTTCTTTGGGATATGATTTTTCGACCCAGATTACTTAAACCTCATTCCTGGGTTATGTGGGTGTCGTTGCTTCAGGAGGCTACATCGGTTGTTCACTCGGGTATGCTATACGTAAGATTGCATACGTGTTCAGCACGAATTAGAGACGTCTCTAGTTGCAGGATGCACGGACTTGGCTTCGTTTCTTTTACCGTGGCTTCGGGTTTCCTTGGGTGTTTTGGTCGTTGGTTGTTTCCAGGGTTATGGTAGCTTCTGATGCCTAGTGTAGAATTCGGTGACTTTAGGGTGTTCCATTGTTCGTAGGGTTCGCTGGTGTAACATAATATGCTCTTCCGGTGTTGTACTTTGCGGATTAATTCATCATAAGGTTAATCTGTCGCTACCGAAAGCCCATAGCTTCCCGTTCGCATTACCCAATATTGCATTCATCATCGCGCTGAACCCGACAGTGCAAGGCCTATATGTCTAGCTAGAGTATGTAGCCTGCTGGGTGAATTACTAAGGATCGGGCTAGATGATGCTGATGTGCTGTAAAGGAACTACAGCTCTACATACAGATATAAAAACAATAATAGTAACCAAATTAGTCTGGGAGTTGGTACGAACCCTTCATATTTAGGGTTGTACAGCTCTACATAAAGCCCCAACTCTATAAGCTAGTGATAATTACTGGAGACAGCTTGTACCACCCCCAAAACCTTTTTCTCCACCGTACTCTAGGTGCTCAATTCGCTGGCTGCAGAGGAAGCCCCAGCGCCGTTTGCGACCTCCAGGCAGTATGTGACGAAGAGAAAGGCTGCTATCCAAGAGGGTCACCGAGAAAATGGGGAAGATAATGAAGATGAAGATGGCATGTCCGATGAAACGCTAGAGCTTCCGGGTGCGAAGCGAAACACGAGCAACAACAGCAAGAAGCGCAACAAGAAGAAGGACAGCAGCAAGAAGAAGAAGAAGAACAACAAGAAGAAGAAGAAGTCCAAGAACAGCATGTCCGATGATTCCGAGATGAAGAATTCCAGATCCGATGAGGCCCTGGTTCCCAGATCCGATGAGGCCCTGCTTCAGCGCAAGCCCGAGGTGAAGAATGCCAGACCCGATGAAGCCCTGGTTCAGAGCAAACCCGAGGTGAAGACTGCCCGATCCCTTAAGAAAGCCAGATCCGATGAGGCCCCGGTTCAGAGCAAGCCGAAGGTAAAGCGAAGCAGATCCAAGGCCCTGGTGCAGACAGACCCAGATGAAGAGCCGCAGACCTCCGACGAAACCGAAGCCCCGAAGAAGAAGAAGAAGCCCAACGTCTTTGGCAAGTACAAAGCGGGTTTGTATGGTTGCAGGCGGTATGTGTTCATCAAGAGAACCCAGGAACAGTTCCCTAAGATGAGCTTCCAGGCGGCCAATCGTTACTGGCTTAAGTGCCCAGAACGCATCGAACTCCTAGCAGACATGCCACTTCCGGAGTTGAAGAGGCGACGTTTTGCGCCCAAAGGGTGTAAGGTCCACCCCTACCGATGAACGAAGCACTGGGCATGATGTCAGTTTTTTACAAGCTGCCTCGTGCACGAAGTTCCGGAGCGCAAGTTGCTTCGTGGCCTGCTGTAGCGATCCCCAGTAACAAGGTCACCCCAACCTCGACACATCCTGCCAACCGCATACCTCTACGTGCCCAAAATAATCTAAAGAAAAAATAAAAGCAAACCCCAAACCCTAAATTCCAAAATCCTAAACTAGCACCCAAGCCCTAACCGTAATTGAACTCCGAATTTCTCCCTATAAACCCTCAAACCCCCATACGTTATACCCTACTCAAGAACCCTAAAACGTTCCTAGGCCCGGCTGTCTCCATGATATGTGGTGGCTTGGGTACTTAGAGCGGCCAGTCTGTGGGCATTGACACAAAAACATATATATATATACATAAATAATGGTACAGTGTTAGTCTTTATGTTTGGCAAAGCTGAAATACCCTCAACCACAAGGTGACCCCTAGTCCTAGTTCTTAAGTTACAAGCTGAAATACCCTCAGCCACAAGGTGACCCCTAGTCCTAGTTCTTAAGTTACAATAGCCTGATATTTAAAGTTCGGTACTGGATACAACCAGGCTGCAAGCGTGTTTGCGCTTTCAGTTCCGCTGAAGTTCTTGCATGTAATTCCAGGACATGAATAAAATTAGTAATTCCATTTGTTAGCTGATTTTTCTGATGTCACGTGGCAATGTGCCGTGACTTCGGTGATTCTGCTCCAGGAGTAAATATTATCGGGGTCGAAATGAGATGGCACCTAGCCTTGTATCATTTAAGGGTATCACCGAAGCAGAATTCCGGCTTCCAATTCGTAGCTTGACGGTTCGGAGCGGGGCCCGTTCTACGAGAAGTTTATGTGTGGTTTGCATGTGTGGCATATATGACGATATAGACTGTACTCTGCAATGATGCTGCTGAGTGACGGCATAGCTCCATCTTGGACTGTCAGGCCTGCAGTAGCGATTCAAGAGTGTTCCAAACAGGAGAATTACTGGCTGACCGATGAACAATAGTGAGAGCTCGCACAGTTCATGAGACAGTTTCGCTGAGTGGCTGCACGCGCATACATATGTGACCAACCTCCAGCTCCTGGTTCCTAAAGCTGGCCTGTGTGTCATATTGCAAGTGCTGTAGCTCTAGAACGTGCAAGCATGGTGGTTGCCGAGCTGCTGCAATGGCATGCTCCGCCTGTGCTTATACTATGCGTCGTTTTGCTACGACTAAACAAGAAAGTCAACCTTGCTGAGGAGTGTAGTTGAAAGTTCGTTAGAAACAAGGCTCTATATCCACATCATAGCCAACCCGTGCAGGATTCTATGTGAGCCTACAGCATTATACTGGTCATGGAATAGGGAGACGGTAGCTACACTGTGAATGCTACTACACCTCCTTCCAATAAACTCTGAAGGACATGGATTTCCTGGAGTGCTTCGCGGGCCAGGCAGCCATTTCGAGATCGATGTGGCAGGTGGCTCTGAACATTTAGTTCCATTATCTTACTGGCGCACTTAAGGTTTCAAGGGGTGCCCGAAATAGGCCTTCAAAAGGCTCCCAATCCCATGCAACCCCATAAACAGCAAAGAACTGTGAAACCCTCTAACACCCAAGTAACATCCGTATATAAAGCCACCTTCAGCCTAAACCCTTTGTTTTGAATCGCCACCTGTGCACGGCAGCAAGCAGTCGTAGCGGCAGCAAACCTTGGGTTCGGGTTCTCGTCAAATTGGCTCAGGGGCTCA